TATATATATATATATATAGTGTGTGTGTGTCTAAATAATATATGTAAATTGTAACATAATAATAATAATCCTATGACGGTTTAATCCAGCCAAAGCCAGGATGAAAGTGCCCAAAACATCATTTCTTTTGATAACCAGCAAACTACAAACTCATGATGGATATACTGTAACTGGGCAAATCTGAGCTAGATTAGTTACGCTACACCATTTAGAATGTAAATGTCCGTTTTATAAAGTTCCAGTAGTTTGGGTTAGTTTAACTTTGAATTGAATGATGAATTAACTAGTTGAATGATGTCTTAACTAGTCAGATCTGAGATAAACAAGACGAATAGTGTTTAATTAGAGGAACAGATTTTAATCAAACTCTTTTGTTTTTCCAGATGTCTGCCTCCCATGTACTAAAGCACACTCCATCCGCTGCTGCCTCGAATGCCTCTGACCAAAACGCACAAACTACATTTCCCATCGGCCACTTGGGCAAAGAACAGTTACGGATCATCGGAGGGCCGCCCAATCACTGCATGGCTCACCCAAAGCACTCTGGGTTACGGGAGGCAGGGTCTGCGGCCAGCAGTCACAGTCTTCGCCCTTTATCAATCAACAGCGAGGAGGATGATGGAGGGGGCGGGGCCAGGGTGAAGAAGAAACGAAGGAAAAAAGACAAAAAAGAGTCAGAGTGGCACAGAGATGAAGAGAGCAACGCTAAACCAAAGAGAAGGGAGCAAAAGGAAGCGAAGGAGCTTCTTCCGAGAAAGTCAAAGGCAGCGAAGGAACAAAAGGATCATAAGAAGAGGGAGCCAAAAGCCCAAAAAGAAGTCAAAAAAGTAAAGAAAGTTCAAGATGTGAAAGTGAAAACACAGGCCAAGAACACTGCAACACATCCGCCCTCCAAAAGAGGGAGGAAGCCAAAGTGAGTTGGTAGAAAATTACAGAATTTTCCTTTAAATGTTCAAACACTACCGCTAGTGTTTTTGAAAGATGTCTGTTATGCTTACCAAGGCTGCACTTATATGATCAAAAATACAGAAAAACAGTAATCTTGTGAAATATTATTACAATTTAAAATAACTTAAAATTTAATTTATTCCTGTGATGTAAAGCTGAATTTTCAGCATCATTACTCCAGTCTTCAGTGTCACATGATCCTTCAGAAATCATTCTAATATACTGATTGGCTGCTCAAGAAACATTTCTTATTATTATCAATGTTGAAATATTATGTTGATATTTTTGCGAACCATGCTTTCTTTGATGAATATGAACTTTAAAAAATATAATTCAATGTCAGTTTTGATCAATTTAATGTGTCCTTGCTGAATCATTTCTTTAAAAAAATATTCACTAAGTATTTTTGGTCTAACAGTGTAGTGCTTCTGTATGTGTGCTTTATGGCAAGACCATAATGACAGGTATATTTAGCGCACTTGGAACCTAGTTTACTAAGCGATGTCTTAAAGAGAGCAAAAATCATTTTAATCACTGACTAACAAATGTCAACTGACAAAACAGTCTCATTTCAGTAAATTGCATCCTTTGCATGTGACAATTTTGCATGTATTGTCTCGGCACTGTTCTTGCTCAGCTCAATCACAGACCTTTTCATATCTTGATTGGGTGAAATGTGATACAGGGATTGTGGGCGTTACAAGGTGAATGTAGGTACTTATGGATTTCCAATTTGAAACCAAGGTCAAAAATGAAACCTGCAACCATGTGTAGGGCTGTTTGACCTTTCAGCTATTTTACTATCATATTTGGAGAAGTAAAGATACATTTTAAACATTCATTCATAAGGTACTCAAATATGTAATATTCTCCAGGGTTGCATTAATCCATTGCCACAATAATGGCACTTAAAAATGGCCTTATGAACAGAGTTTCTGCCAATCATCTTTTGTGATTGGATACATTCCCTATTTAAACAAATTTTATCCACTTTGTGGTTCCCTCTCACCACTTGTTTTTTCCCAAAGTAAAGCATTGAAATTGCATTTTATTCAAAAGTTCTGCACTCCAACAAAACTGTTGTGCTACTTGTCCACTTATAAACCAGTAAACGTATGCACAGCAGATGTCGGCTTTGTACCATTATATGGCCTGATATTTGTCAGTCAAACAAGTCCTTGGTTGGTTTGCGCCAATATCTGTCAACCTGTGCAAAGCTGTGGAGGTAAGATGAATTTTAAGTGTTAAAATAAATTTTAGTGTTTTGCCCCTGTCTTATGCAGAGAGCAGGGTGCCATGCCTCCAGAGAAGAAGAAGAAGGGAAAGAGGAAAAGTGATGCTGTACTTGAGATGGTGGAGAGTGATGACACAACCTCTCTTAGCACGCTCGCCACTGGCGGTGAGGAAAGCATCGACCCTATGGATAACACTGTAAGTTCTCCAGAACCGATATACATCTGGCATATGGATTTCTCCTGAGCAGAATAATTATGGATCATGCTGTGTATTTACACAAATACAAAATCTTAAAAAGGAAGGCACAATGTTGCTTCCATATCAGTTATCAGCCGCTGTTTTTTTTTTTTTTCCCCTTGTTTTTTGAATATTGCATATTTAATTTTAATGTCATTTTCCTGCTATTTTTACGTTTAGTTTAACTTTGCACTCACTTAAAGTTTAATAATTTGAAATAGTTAAAAGTAAACTTTACTATGGAAGGATATTCCGGACTATTTCCAAAAGGAATTGCAAATGGTATTTTCAATTGCATTTTCCATGTGTGGACACATAAATAGTGACATTATCCAAACGCAATAGCAAATCTTGCATTACTTTTTGCATTTGCACTTTAGCGAACGCACAGTGACTGCCAAATTTCAAATGGAAAAGCAAAGTCCATTTGCAACTGTATTTCCCATGTCTTACGAGTTATGAACCTGTCATATTTAAATAGCAATATTAATTACCACGTCTGCTCTGCGTTGTGCATGTAACCTGCCAAAACTCAAATGAAATCAGTTTATTTAGCATTTGAATTTCCGATGCCTTACAAGGAAAGCTGTCAATCAGTGTCAGGGGCGGGACTATACTATGGGGCGTGTTTGCATTTGGAAGTGACGTCACTCACAGATGATTGTGCCAAATGCTTTGAACAATGGAGGTAATCGGTAAAAAGGCTCAGCTAAAGGCAACTGCCAATCTGATAAATGCGTGTGAATATATATATATATATATATATAAACATAATTCCTTTAATGGGGAATGGATTTTTTGCTGTTGTTGGTAATTTATTTCAATATTTTTGGTAATTGTTTTATTAATAATTTTACATTAATGTGTAATTCTTTCTTTCTTTCTTTCTTTCTCTCTTTCTTTCTTTCTTTCTTTCTCCTTTCTTTCTTTCTTTCTTTCTTTTATTTCTTTCTTTCTTTCTTTCTTTCTTTGCAGAAGAGGCGATCAGGGCGTCAAGTGAAGCGACGGAAGTATAACGAAGATCTTGATTTCAAGGTCGTGGATGATGATGGGGAGACCATCGCCGTGTTGGGCTCGGGCCGAATTGCTGCCATGTCTTCCTCTACCCTCGCCTGGCAGGCTGAGGTAACCGTGGTAACATCTGCCATTATGCCACACCACAGACCTGCCCTACTTCTGGAGGGGCGGAGCAAACACACACTGGAATAATTCCCCCCTTCTTTCTTCACAGGAACCCCCTGAAGATGAGGCCAATATCATTGAGAAAATACTCTCAGCGCGAACGGTCAAGAAAGAGGTAACGGTTCAGATTACATGTTACACTTATAAATAATGGATTACTGTATCCAGTTAAATAAAATTAAGCAACAATATTTATTATATGGCCATTATATGGCTTTGATTTACACCATGATACAAAAAGTCCAGAATACTGAATACACTCTACACTGGGGTGCAAGAAACATCTGCCTAAAAATAAATCTTTTTCATGTAGACATCCCCTGACGAACCACCTGAAGAGATGGAGGAGATGGAGGAGTTTTACGTCAAGTACAGAAATTTGTAAGTGTACTTATGCAACTCAAACTGCTGTTACCTTTTTGTGATCTCAAACTCTCAAACACTCATCTTGTCAAACTGTCAGAGCAAACACATAACTCACATTTATTGTGTAATGCATTATTCAAAATCATTTATGCATTAAATTATCCATCTGCTATAGAGTGGTAATACACCCTGCCTCATGGAATAATTTGCTGAATCAACAATGGTGTGATTTACAGCAAGATCCCTATTCTGGTGTAGTTCTGGAAATTACAGTATTGCAAATAGGACCAATTTACTGGGTCGCATTTAGCCTCAAAAACTAAATAAAAAAAAAATAGCTTAAAGACATTAAGAGAAATATGCCTTTTAGCATCATTGATATTTCCCCCCTTTATTTTCATGATAATAAAGCATATTTCCCACCCAAAATCTTTTTATTTAAATACTTTTGTTTTGTATTTTTTAAATAAGTTTACTGTAATGTATATGTGCTTTACATATGTTTTTAGTAGTATTTATAATCATACCTGCAAACAAGTCGCTTTTCGGTGAAATTTGCTGTTTTGAATCTTTTTTAGTTTATATTAGTTATAAGTTTTTTTGGGGGGCGGGGGGGTTCTGGGCAGAGAGAGAGAGAGATTCCCATTGATTATTAATATGCATAAAAGATCCCTCAAATTCGGGATGCATCTTAAATCAAGTCCCACAGAATCGCTACATTTTAAAGCGCTACAAACCCAAGAACCGAACCCCGAAAAGAGTCCACTCAGTCAGCTAGTTCTGAGACTTACTAACCTGACTAACTCTAACACTCACCAGTCTCAAACCAGCACTGCTTCTCACCCGAACATCAAAATAAATCAAATTATCCAACAATCTAAAAATACATATCTGGAACATTGGGATCAGGAAACTAAAACACAAAGTAAATTACAATTCTATCGAACTCTAAAATCAAATTATGAATTGGAAGATTATCTCCAGAGTGTCAGAGACACAAAGCAGAGACGGATCCTGACCAAGTACAGGCTCAGTGAGCACAGTCTAGCCATTGAGACCGGCAGACACAGAAAAAGCTGGTTACCCAGAGAGCAAAGGGTGTGTGCTCACTGTGAGATAGGAGAGCTCGAGACAGAGATGCACTTCCTCCTTCACTGTCATAAATACATACCCATAAGAAACCAACTTAATAAAGAACTTTACAGCCATTAGTAAAACAGAACAAATAAAGATACTTTTAGGAGAGGGACCGACAGCAGCACTTGCTGCGAGATACGTGTGGATGTGCCACAGCCTGAGAGACAGCAAGTCAGTGTGTATTGTGTCTGACCTCAGTGTGTTACCCTACTGTCCACCACAGTGATCCTTAGTGATCAGTGATGAGAAGTATGTATGTGTGTTTCTATGTAAGTTAAAGACTGTGGTATCAAATGTTCACACGTTATAACTGGTTACAGTTTAATGTTTCTAAGATGTTATAATATTCCAGTCATGCCAATAAAGCAATTTTGAATTGAATTGAATTGAGAGAGAGAGAGAGATTGCAAGCTCGTAGACAGGAGGAGTGTGTTTGACCAAAGTCGCTTTCTCCGTTCGACTTGAAGCAGTAATGCGCAGACCGATCGCTGTATGACATCAAAGCACCGCAAGAGCTACAGAGGACAGATGGCTCTGCGTGCTTTCGAATCACTCTCACGGTACTTTTGATGTCTGATCAGTCTGTGCGCTGCTGCAAAGATGTCGCCGTGGAAGTTCTTCATTGTGAGTTAAACAGACACAAAGTTCATTTATAATACAGTATTGACTGTTTTTTGCTTAAGTTCGCTGATGAAGTTTCAATCAAAGCCACAGCAGAACTGTTTTGTGTCTCTGAGCAACACAGCGGTGTTTCGATACTGAATGAATCCACGTTTTTGAACGAATCAAGTGAGTCAATGATTCAGTAACCCATTCATAAAGATAGTGGCTGTGTTTGAAATGCCATACTATCATACTACTCTTAATATTTCTGCAGTATCCAGTATGTATGCTGTGCATAGTATGCAAGTTTTCTGTATGCATGTAATACCCGGATGACCTATTATATTCGCCAGAATCTGCTAAATATAACTCAAGTACACTGAAATCAGTACAGAAGCTGTTCGGAATGGCATACTACCATACTATATTGCAGTATGCTGTGTATATACTGTGAATAGTATGTGAATTTTCTGTATGCATGGAATGCCCGGATTACCTGCTACATTGGCTGAAATTTGAAGACGCTGCATGAGATACTGTTTCCCAGAATGCAATGCGCTCCATGTGACGTTTCATCTTCAAACGCGTGAGTGAACTGGAGGTGGGGAATAGTAATTATAAATGTAACACTTGTATTTGTATGTATATACATATACATGTAAACTATCGCTGTGTATCTAAAAACAGTATCGTTAGTAGGACATAAATTGTACTTTAATCTATACAGCACGTTTCCCATCATCAAATGACATCACCTTTATCTTTATAGCGCTTTATACAGTACAGATTCTATTTCAATTATGCAAACAGAATTCAATTCCACTGTCAAGCAGCTCTAAAAAGAAATGGAGTGTATTACTCTAAGGACAAATAGACCAATTTGTTGGCAGAGGCTATTTACATTAACTCTGCCCACCAATGCCTGGCTGTGATTAACAGCACTGCAAAATACACTTGCATTTCCGTAGTATCAGTGGCGCAGCGAGTAAAACGTGAGCTGTTTGCTTTTGATGCAGTCGACCCGAGTTCGATCCTGGCTTTTGTCAAACTCATGCTTCTCCTTTTCCCATCACATACCAGATAAGAAAGAAATTAGTTTTCAATAAAAATTAAGTAAATATTTTGAAAAGTGGAAATAAAATGCCTCAACAATACAGTGTTGTGTATGCTTTAGGTAGGTTTTTGTCCCAATAAAGTGGCATTCATCTAATACAATTCTTTACAGCCATTAGTAAAACAGAACAAATAAAGATACTTTTAGGAGAGGGACCGACAGCAGCACTTGCTGCGAGATACGTGTGGATGTGCCACAGCCTGAGAGACAGCAAGTCAGTGTGTATTGTGTCTGACCTCAGTGTGTTACCCTACTGTCCACCACAGTGATCCTTAGTGATCAGTGATGAGAAGTATGTATGTGTGTTTCTATGTAAGTTAAAGACTGTGGTATCAAATGTTCACACGTTATAACTGGTTACAGTTTAATGTTTCTAAGATGTTATAATATTCCAGTCATGCCAATAAAGCAATTTTGAATTGAATTGAATTGAGAGAGAGAGAGAGATTGCAAGCTCGTAGACAGGAGGAGTGTGTTTGACCAAAGTCGCTTTCTCCGTTCGACTTGAAGCAGTAATGCGCAGACCGATCGCTGTATGACATCAAAGCACCGCAAGAGCTACAGAGGACAGATGGCTCTGCGTGCTTTCGAATCACTCTCACGGTACTTTTGATGTCTGATCAGTCTGTGCGCTGCTGCAAAGATGTCGCCGTGGAAGTTCTTCATTGTGAGTTAAACAGACACAAAGTTCATTTATAATACAGTATTGACTGTTTTTTGCTTAAGTTCGCTGATGAAGTTTCAATCAAAGCCACAGCAGAACTGTTTTGTGTCTCTGAGCAACACAGCGGTGTTTCGATACTGAATGAATCCACGTTTTTGAACGAATCAAGTGAGTCAATGATTCAGTAACCCATTCATAAAGATAGTGGCTGTGTTTGAAATGCCATACTATCATACTACTCTTAATATTTCTGCAGTATCCAGTATGTATGCTGTGCATAGTATGCAAGTTTTCTGTATGCATGTAATACCCGGATGACCTATTATATTCGCCAGAATCTGCTAAATATAACTCAAGTACACTGAAATCAGTACAGAAGCTGTTCGGAATGGCATACTACCATACTATATTGCAGTATGCTGTGTATATACTGTGAATAGTATGTGAATTTTCTGTATGCATGGAATGCCCGGATTACCTGCTACATTGGCTGAAATTTGAAGACGCTGCATGAGATACTGTTTCCCAGAATGCAATGCGCTCCATGTGACGTTTCATCTTCAAACGCGTGAGTGAACTGGAGGTGGGGAATAGTAATTATAAATGTAACACTTGTATTTGTATGTATATACATATACATGTAAACTATCGCTGTGTATCTAAAAACAGTATCGTTAGTAGGACATAAATTGTACTTTAATCTATACAGCACGTTTCCCATCATCAAATGACATCACCTTTATCTTTATAGCGCTTTATACAGTACAGATTCTATTTCAATTATGCAAACAGAATTCAATTCCACTGTCAAGCAGCTCTAAAAAGAAATGGAGTGTATTACTCTAAGGACAAATAGACCAATTTGTTGGCAGAGGCTATTTACATTAACTCTGCCCACCAATGCCTGGCTGTGATTAACAGCACTGCAAAATACACTTGCATTTCCGTAGTATCAGTGGCGCAGCGAGTAAAACGTGAGCTGTTTGCTTTTGATGCAGTCGACCCGAGTTCGATCCTGGCTTTTGTCAAACTCATGCTTCTCCTTTTCCCATCACATACCAGATAAGAAAGAAATTAGTTTTCAATAAAAATTAAGTAAATATTTTGAAAAGTGGAAATAAAATGCCTCAACAATACAGTGTTGTGTATGCTTTAGGTAGGTTTTTGTCCCAATAAAGTGGCATTCATCTAATACAATTTATATATACAGTATATGATAATTTACACTCAATATGTTATTGCATACTGTTTTATAATGTACTACAGTATTGAGGTATAAATATCTGCCACCTAACTACTATTTACACTCCTGTTGCTAAAGAAAATGCTGCTATTTTAGTGTTAACAGAAATGATTATTATTTGCACTTAGTGTAACTAGAATATATCGCTTTTTAATATATCGCCACTTAGTGTAGCTACCAAAAATATAAATAAAAACAGCTCAGTGTTGATTTAGTTCTGTCCAATATATAAAGTTAATCAATTATGAAATGAGTTCAATTGGGCAATATAGCTTTGTTTACTAGTATGAAGCCTTATTAACAAGTCTTTGTAAAAAGAACAGTTAGCTCATTTGTTTCTAAGGTAACAACCTTGACAGCTGTGCTGAATTAATGTTCAGTGTTTGTCATGTGACAGCACTTAAGCATACTACTCTGAAACATTTATTGCTTATTGTATACTGTTTCACACACGGTTCTTTAAAAAAAATAGTAGGCAGTATGCACTGTGTACTGGGCAGTAAGCAAGTATGCCATTTCGAACACAGGCAGTAGTCACTTGCCTCGTTTTTGACTGAATCAGCCGTTTAATGACTCGCTCATTAAAACAGTAATTTACCGTCATCTACTGGTGGTTTGGTTTCATATTTAAAAGTATTGCATTTTTCCCAACATTTTTTATTTGTATGTTCAAAACTATTTAAAACATTAATATTATAAAATTTATTTGAAATGTTGTGGTGTAAATGCATTTATGGCACCTCAGCTTCATTAAAGAGTCTGTGTAAATACATCTAATGCCATTTCAGATGCAGCTTCTGTTTCCTCTGCAGTGAAAAGATGGAGTTTGTTAAAATGTGCAAAAATAAATTTCTCCACTGCTCACAAAGACCCCCATACAAGGGTCATATTTAGAACTATATCACCTTTTTGACCTCTTGTGAGTTTGCAAGTATGATAATTAAAAAAAATTTTTTTGCAGAATATAATTAATTATTTCTTTCTTTTGATTTTGAGTTGAAATGTGACATAGACGTGTTCTTGACAAGTTTAGTATTGATGGATAAACAAACATTGTAAACAAAAAACTGTTTTAAATTAAACACTAGCTGAAAGGTAAAGCACGCAGTGTTGTTATTGCACATTGTAAGCTATGAAAATATTTTCTTCGTGCCAGCTCCTATCTGCACTGTAAATGGGCGACCTTGGAGGAACTGGAGAAGGACCCACGCATTGGCCAAAAAATCAAGCGCTTCAGAAACAAGCAAGCGCAAATGAAGCATATTTTCACAGAGGTGCGTCTGCCAAAACATGTTACAGTTTATTTGTGGTTCATTTACAGTTATAACCAGGAGATGCACCAGATATACAAGGATGTAAAAACTATGATGCATGTAGAAAATTCAAGAATTTTGGATTTTGTTGTCAAGTACCTCACCTTTAAATCAATTCTTTTGTCATAGACTGTCTACACACAGTGGTGTGAAAAAGTGTTGGCCCCCTTCCTGTTTTTTAAATTTTTTGCATATTTGTCACACTTAAAAGATTACCTTTGTGTTCTTTTTGGTCAGCATTGGCTTTTGCCTTGGAACTCTCGCATGGATGCTGTTTTTGCCCAGTTTCTTTCTTACTGTTGAATCATGAACACTGATCTTAATTGAGGCAAGTGAGGCCTGCAGTTCTTTAGATGTTGTTCTGGGTTCTTTTATGACCTCCTGGATGAGTCGTCGTTGCGCTCTTGGAGTAATTTTGGTTGGCCGGCAACTCCTGGGAAGGTTCACCATTTTTCCAAGTTTTCTCAATTTGTGGATAATGGCTCTGACCATGGTTTGCTGGAGTCCCAAAGCCTTAGAAATTGCTTTATAATCCTTTCCAGACTGATACATGTCAACTGTTTTGATTCTCATCTGTTCTTGAATTTCTTTAGATCGTGGCATAATGTGTTGCTATTTAAGCATGCTTCACTTCGTCAGACAGCTTCTATTTAAGTGATTTCTTAATTCAACAGGTCTGGCAGTAATCAGGTCTGGGTATGGTTAGTGAAATTTAACTCGACTTTCTAAAATAATGTGGTTAATTGCAGTTCTTTCATGATTTAACAGGAGGGGGCAATTAATTTTTCACGTAGGGCCACGCAGGTTTGGACAGCTTTTTTCCCTTAATAAATTAAATCATCATTTAAAAACTGCATTTTGTATTTACTTGCATTATCTTTGTGTAATATTTAAATTTGTTTGATGATCTGAAACATTAAAGTGTGACAAACATGCAAAAAAATAAGAAATCAGGAAGGGGGCCAATACTTTTTCACACCACTGTATGTGTTATTTGCCTAAATCTGCCTGAGATGAAGTTGTGTTTCTCCTCAGCCGGATGAAGACCTGTTTAATCCAGATTATATTGAAGTTGATCGGGTTTTAGAGATTGCTATCACCACAGATACAGAAACTGGAGAGGTGAGGTGCTCTTCAAATTCTCTTAAAAAACCAAGCTTTTATATATACTAGTGGTGCCAAGTCTTTTGATGTTTGGTTTGTCTGCATGTTAACAGGAAGTTACACACTACCTGGTGAAGTGGTGCTCTTTGTCATATGAGGAGAGTACTTGGGAGCTTCAGGAAGATGTTGACCCTGTGAAAATCAGAGAGTTTGAAGACCTCAAGGAAATTCCAGATATCAAGCATGTGGTAAGTCCTTGAATGCAAATGATTGCATGGTTCAGCTGCAGGTTTTATCGTACAGTCCAAAACATTTTTATTCTGCTTCGCTTTTTAGCATATATCTCAGACTAGGAAAAGAAGTGACACTTCTCTTATCTTAATACAGGAAAGGCCTCTGCCCGAACAGTGGCAAAAACTAGAGAAGTCCAGAGAGTACAGGAATGGGAACCAGCTGCGAGAATACCAGTTAGAGGGAATGAACTGGCTCCTTTTCAACTGGTACAACAGGTGAAACAAACTTTTAATATCTGCACTTGTAGGGCTTACAAAATATCATGATCCTATTTTGAAGGTATAAAGTAACTATTTAAGATAAGAACTAATCATAAAAATGGTTAATAGTAATAATTACATTGACAAAAGGTTTTTTTAACTTAAATTTAAATTGATTTGTAAAATAAGAAATACTAGGTTTTTATATAAATAATGATTAATCTGTTTGTTTTATTGATTAATTCATCTCACATTTAATTAGCTGAAAGGACTGTCAATTTCAACATGTTAATTTAGTGTGATCTAATTATAAAAAATACCCCCCCCCCCCCAAAAAAAAATAAAATGTATCATGTTTAATAATTTTAAACATAATTTTGTCTGACACAATATAATGTTTCAATTGTCTTTTAAATAATAACTATTATAATATGAATAAATGTATAGAATATTATAATATATCAGCATGTAATTAACTTTATAATAATTATGTAACTAATAATAATAATTAACAGCTCTATCTAAAAGCAAATGCAATTATATGTGCAATTATGCGATCTGACATGATTAATAAACTCCTTAACTCCTGAACACGTTTCTCTTGATGTAGGAAAAACTGTATCCTGGCTGATGAGATGGGGCTGGGGAAGACCATCCAGTCCATCACGTTCCTCTATGAGATTTATCTCATGGATCTGAGAGGACCCTTCCTCATCATCGCCCCACTCTCCACCATCACCAACTGGGAGAGAGAGTTCCGCACATGGACTGAAGTGAACGTCATCGTCTATCACGGCAGCCAGATCAGTCGGCAGATGATCCTGCAGTATGAGATGTACCACCGAGATGAACAGGTGGGTCAAACAGAGCGATTCATTTTGAGTTCTCAGTAGAGCCCGACCGATATGGTTTTGTTGGGGGGCCGATACCGATATTAGGGAGTAAAAAAAGACCGATACCGATATATATCGGCCGATATTCTTTATGTGTAGGCTATATTATAGTACAGTATAGTAAAAAGTTTGGACACACTTCCCATTAGTGTGTCCAAACTTTTGACTGGTGCTGTATATAGAATACAGTATATAGCCTACATAAACAATTGGCCGTTGAAAATCATTTGAACTTCTGTCAGCACGTCATAAATAGAGCGAGGCATTGCTTTACTGAATCCGGTGTAGACAACATAATGGGTTCTATTCCAGTGGCGGCTCGTGGGTTTTAAAATAGAGGAGGCACACTAATTGTATTGGTCTGGGATCCCTGCCGATTATTATTATTATTATTATTATTATTATTAGTAACACGAATAGAACAAAATATGTATAACCTGAATTAAGAAATCAAACAAGGTAACTGTGTAGGGCAAGCAAGCTACTTCCAAACCAACAGGGTCAGGTTTATGCAGGAAGCACAGCTTTTCCAAATGTAAACATCTAAAATTAATAAATAATAA